TCTAGTTCACATAGATAGTTTGATAATGATCTAAATTTACTCATTCAAGAACATCTTTTAAAACTCATCACGCAAACATCACAACTAGTAGACTAACTCTTTATCTCATATAAAAAGCCAACATGATAAGATGAAACTATAGAAATCATTAAGTTACTAGTTTTAACTATCAAGTTCCCTCAAAATCAAATAATTGCCATTCTTCACTCATCTTATGTAAAATATCAACAAGACAAGGCACTTTCATATCAAATCTCTCACTATTACAAAGAAATTCAATACATATCGAACATACTAAGCTTATCAATATTGAATCACTAAGTCAATCAAAGCATAGAATTGTAAGATCATAAAGACTTTTTTCGGATTGTAATGTCGGATAAGGGACGTGGAGGAATTATTTGGTGTCAAATAGTAAGCAATATCCCCAATGCACTTTAAGACACTAACAATATTAATAAGTTGTTCTATCTCATTCCACCTTACCTCCGACTTTCTAGGATACCTTTCCTTTTTATTTCAATCTTGTTGGGATATTTTCATTTTTATTACTACCTAATTGCTAAAAAGATGTTTTTCTCCGTCATTTACTTTTTTTTTCACACTTGTCAACTTTTTATAATCAAGTAATATAGAGAAAAAGTTCTTTCCTTTCTATTTCTTATTCTTTATTTACTATATATATATTTCTATTTCTTATTCTTTATTTAATATATATATATATATATATATATATATATATATATATATATATATATATTCACAACTTAGGTACTATTTTTTATCTCCTCTTTACCGAATAACCGTATAACCTTACTTCTCTAAGTTCATTCACATTTTTCTCTATCGTCTCCCTTTCTATCTCATAGTTTTTCAACTCAAAATGCATTAACAATTTTTGGATCAAAATCTAAAGGTAACCAATAAAAGGAAATTAGGATACATAATATTGTTGTCAAAAAAATAATCTTATAGGCTCAAAAATGGTTAATAGGAAAAATGTCTAGGTAGGTATCACAATATAGTAAAAAATATAGGCCTAAACAAAAAATACCTTGATCACATCAAACGAGTTCAAACAAAAAGTTGAACTTTACGCACAGACATGACAATCTTTAGATGCCTGAAAATGAACGGATGCGCAAATGTTCACCACACAAATCACATTTATAGTTTTGAACTGGTTACTTACAACTCCAATCTTTTCAATTATAACACGTTCAATGTTATGCATTATTTTATATCTTTTATTTGTAACAGACGTGTGATAGATAGTATATGAATTAACACTTAGGTACTTCAATCTTTTTATTTTTTAATGAATAATAATGTCAAGAACCAACTCATCGAGCCGTGAGGGCACCCACTCTAACACCTAAGTAGGAGATCCTCATACCTCAATAGTTATAGTTAAACATGCAGAAAATTTAAAGATTACAGAGGTAATTACAAAAATATGACTTTTATAAATAGCAGTTTTTAACAAATTCAACAACCCCCATTGATCCAGTCTAAACAAGTACAAGAACTACTAAGAGTACAATTGGACAAGATAAATAAAAAACACAGTTCCCACCATGCGGTAGGAAGAATGGAAGCTGCTAGATAATTTCTCCGTCTTTGTCAAAAAGACATGGCAACAATAGTATCAGTACAAATATGCATAATGGTAGGCCTCATCGGTCAACCCAACCCCCACCACATGACATCAAAAATCGACTAGTAAGATCATGAATTACCCACTTGCTTCTCCACCTTTACCCACTCTTAAAATACCTTCAATTTACCCCAACTTTCTAATTACCTACCACCTTCTCAACCAGCATGCTTACCTTGTTCTTGATCATAACCTAACCATTCTAACACATTAACAATCCCCTAATTACACTCACGATCACTCCAACTAATCGCTCATGTCGTACCCTTAATCCCCTGCTACATTACTCAGCCATGGTCACATAGTACACTACCTCAAATTTCCTTACGACTAAACCCAATATCTTTTCCCAAGGAGAAATCCACCTAAGCATATCTCATAGTTATGCTGGAAAGTGGAAACCGATCCAAGTTATTTATGCCAGAACATGAAAATCGAGCTCATTTAGTTATGTTGGACGTGGAAACCGAACCCAGTTAGTTATGCTGAAACATGATAATTTGATCCTTCAACATATCACAATCACAATCACTAGTATATTCTCAAGTTCGTACAATGAGTCATGGTTCATCGAATTCATAATTTATCCATATCATTACAACAAGTGTGATTCAACAATGAAACATTTGCATATATACATGCATCATAATGAGGCAATATCAAGAATACGTCGCACAATCATAGAATCACAACCATCACCTACACTGAATTATTCATCACACACGTCCTGCAAACCCTAATTCGACCATACTTAACCCTAATTTATCATCTAAGGCTTCTTTGTAGGGGTTGAATCATGAAGCATTTGGTACACGAAGGCCACAGATAAATGCTACCATTAATTTGCATATATTACGTAGTGAACACAAATTTTAACTAGTCAATTCGTAAAACCAAGCCCACTTGGGCACCAAGTAGTTGCACGGAGTTTGATCTAGATTCCTTTTTTTCGTGCTTCATGATGGTGAATTTGGATAAGAATCTACAAGATATCACCATCCTCAAACTAGAAATTTCCTCCTTCTTTCCCAAACTTTGAGAAGCTTTCTGAGGTTTATAGGATGTTTTACGACTTAGGTATTTTAGAAAGATGGAAAAAATAGGATATCTCAAAGTTTACATTTTATTTCGCTTATCCCTCTCTAGCACCAACTTACCCCGCCCTAGCACCGCCAACCTAGCGGCATTTGGCCCGCCCTAGTGGGACAGTTGCCCAAAATTCCCAAATATTTATTTCTCCTAAATAACAATGATTTGGATCGTTGCAAATAAACTCCTATGAAGTCAAGCAAAATATTTTACTTAGAGTACCTTACTATCATTCATGGACTTCATGTTTTTAGAATTTCTAAGTCTTAAAAATAAGTAAGCTAAGTACTAAATATCTAATAATATAACCTAGTTAATTCAAAGGGACAATCCGAAGAAAAGTACCGAAACAAAAGTAAACATAAAATAATACAACACAAACTAATACTTTATATATCTGGAATTGAAATAGAATTACATCCAAATGATATCCAAACCAAACCTTGAAATAAGTCTTAATCAACACAACCAACAGACAAGCCAAGACAATAACATTCCACACCATGAAAATGAGCAATACAACTCGATAATGAAGAACATAGAGGGATATGAGGAGGAATAAACCATATGACACATAAACAATGAAATACAAAGGGAAATATAACATGTGTTTCTCCACACCACATTTAAATCAATGCACTATCCTCAGTTCTTAAATCAAACAAATCGAAAGTGGGGATAAGAGAGAAAAAGAACTCCCTAGTCTACTTGTACTCCACAACATAACTTTTTTATCTTCTCCATTAGACTAAGAGTCTATTAATACAAGCTCGTTATCTGTGGACATTTCATTAACTACAAACTTTTCAAAATTTAGGTTGATATGACACAATCCCTGGGCATTGGCACTAAGTGGTACTTATAGTGGAGCTATTGCATCTCATCCAACGTCAAGAGGTGTCCTTTACATCTCACTTGAAGTATGGAATTTCATACATGTGGTTCTAATAAATGTCTATGTGTGTATTTTTATTGGTACTAGATTATGTTGGCCAATGCAGAGTGTTGGGATTTTTAGATATCCTTACATTGACCTCCCCTAGTGTTATGAGGTTGTCTGTGACCTTCCTTCTTTCTAGAATAGTTTTGCTTCTCAAGAATATACTCACCAAACTTCTAAACTATATATTAGGAATTTGTGTAGATTGAATCTCCTCATAAGACCTTTCAAAATAACTCATATATTACCTATCAACAGAGAATACACAAATAACCCTCTTTTTAGATATATTGGTCATATGCTTTTCTGGAATCAACAAGTTTCACACAATACATTTCACGTGTGTATAAGAGATATTTATTTGGTGCCTTCCTATCTTCTAATTCCAAACCTTTGTAGCTCTTAACTGTGGCCCACATAGAGTGTGGGAAATCATCTGGTACGATTGCCTTTTCCTTAATCTCTTTATAGGCCATATAGCTATAGTTGATTTGAGGGGTTATATTTTGCATAGAACTCCCTCACTATGGTGAGGTTTCACTACTCCTTCTCTTCGAAGATGAAATCAAGACCAAAGGCATGTTTCCTCTCAAGAATATGGAGAAATTTGGCCATTAGGATGGCCTTGTCTACTCTCTGACTTGGAAGGTATTTATCATCATTTTTTGTCTATACAAATTTTTTTTTCCAGAAGGGTAAAAATGAAGAAAAAAAAGACTTGGGATTTTAATATGTAAGGTTAGCTCTAGGTGGGTCGACCAATGATTTTAAGTGAACTATTTCATGGACCCACATCATGGTGTAATTCACATACCCTACGAGGCCCAATAGGGATATCTCTTGTTTTGCTCTAGTTGAGGCACGAGCCTTTGCAAATAGAAATGGGGTCCCACGATGCAAGGATTAGTGTGATTACCATTTTTTCATTTTTATTTATGTATGTATGTGCATGCAATATGTGAAGATAAAAGTTCTAGAATGTGAAGCCAGCTGTCAAGTAAGAATGTTAGTCATTTGTTAATTAGTTAATTGTGTCAGAAGTTAGTTAGAAGAGAGTAGAATATCACACTGTAATATGTATATATACGTATTAGTGCATATAATGTAAAGGCTAAGAGAGAATGGAATAATAGAAAATGCTATTTCTGTTTTGCTTTCAGTTCTTTTCCTCTCAATTCTCCACAGCTGCAACTTCCATTGAAGAAGGTTGTAAGCTTTCTCAACATGGTATCAGAGCAGGGGATCTGTTAAGCCTCTCTCATTTTTCTTCTTCTTCTCTGTTCTTCTTCTATTCTCTGTATTGAATTTTCATCAATGGCGGAGCCAATTGATCATAATCACCCCTTGTATGTACATCCATCTGATACTCCTGGTACTGTTCTTATTCTTGTTCAGCAAAAAGGATCTGAAAATTATGGCATATGGAGAAGATCAATGACAATAGCATTACAGGCGAAGAGAAAATTAGGTTTCGTTATAGGTGCTTGCAAGAAGGATTCACTACGTCATGAGCATCACCAAAACTGGGAGACTTGCAATGCACTGGTTCTTCATGGATCATGAATACAGTCACACCTTCACTTCTAAGTGGAATCGTATATGCTTCGAATGCTTTTTTAGTCTGGAAAGACTTGAAAGAGAGGTTTGATAAAGTCAATCGAATGAGGATCTATCAGTTGCATAAGGAGATCAATTCAATTAATCAGCGAACAAGTAGTGTGTCTGAATATTTTACGAGGCTGAAAGAATTATGGTCTGAGTTTGATGCAGTGGTTCCTTCTCCTGATTGTGGTTATGTTAGAGATAAGAAGTATGTGGAACACCTTCAACAACAACGGTTACTACAATTTGTAGGAGATTTAAATGATTCTTATGATCAAGCCAGGCGACAGATTCTCATGAAATCATTTGAGCCTTCTCTGAATCAAGCTTATTCTCTTGTCATTGAGGATGAATGTCAGAAAGGATCTAGCATGAACATTGTACCTCAATCGATTGCTGGAGGTAATGATATCACTGCTTTATGGAGTGCACGAGGGCCATTACAAAATTATAAGAAATCACATAATGAACATTGGAATGAGAAGTGTGATTTTTGCAATATTAAGGGTCATATCAAGGAAAACTGTCATAGACTCATTGGATATCAACCAAATTACATAGGCAAGAAGAAAGAAGGTATTGTAGCAAATAATTCTTTCTTGGGTGATGATTCATCTCACATTAAGGACAATTCTGATCAGTATTCCGGTGTTTCTCAGATTTGGAGTCCATATGGTTACAACGGGAATAGAATGCCTCTATTTTCTGATGGTTATACTCTCAATGGACATGAATACACTTGTTATTCTCCACAATCTGCTCATGGAGGTTAAGGACAAATGGGTAAAAGAGTTGGATCTATGCTTGGTTTTTTTCCTTCATCACAACATCAGTCTTCATCACAACACCAGTCCTCACATCCTAACAAAGATAAACACCCTGATCCAGAGATAGTTGCTCACTCTGCAGGTAATGTTACTTCTTTTCATGTTAGTAGTGTGCCTGATAGATGGATAGTAGACACAGGTTCTACGAACCACATGACTCCCAACTTAGGAATGTTACATGGATCTTACGAACAACAAGGTCAAAGTGTTCATTTGCCAAATGGTAGTAAGGCTATTATTTCTCATATAGGACAATGTCGATTGCCACAGGGAGTTAAACTTAACTTGTTGTCTGTTCCTAAGATGACAAAGGAATTACAGTGTTGTATGGTTTTCTATCCTGACTTCTGTTTACTGCAGGACCTTCACACTAGGAAGGTGAGGGGGACTGGTAGAATGGAAGGATGCCTGTATTTCTGGGATCATAAAGAGAAGGAATGTTTTGCATATGCAGCTTCAATAGGAACTCAGGCTGATCATGAGCTTTGACATACAAGGCTTGGTCATGTTCCAAGCAAAATACTTTAACATATGTCTTTAGTTGATTCTAAAAACATTGTATTGTCATCTCGTCTTGTATGCGCTTTGGCAAAACAGACCAGACTTCCTTTTCAAAGAAGTGTAAGTAGGGCAAACACTCCTTTTGATCTTATTCATGGGGATGTTTGGGGTCCTCATAGGTTACCTACACATGATGGTAAAAGATTTTTTCTGACATTAGTTGATGATTGTAGTAGAATGACTTGATTGTTTCTATTACACTTGAAAAGAGAGGTGAGTACTGTTATTCATGATTTTTTGCTACTGATCAAGTCTAAGTTTAATGCATCTGTCAAGGTGTTACAAGTGACAATGTCACTGAATTCTTTAATGCACATTGTAGAGATATTTTTAAAGTTGCTGGTATAATACATAAAAGTTCGTGTGTTCATACACCTCAACATAATGGGGTAGTTGAGAGGCGACATAGGCAAATCCTAGAGGTTGCTAGAGCACTTTGGTTTCAAGGACATATACCCTTGAGGTTTTGGGGATTATGTGTTCAAAACTGTAGTTTATCTTATTAATAGAATACCTTCCAGAGTCTTACATGGAAAGAGTCCTTTTCAAATGTTCTTTGATAAAAATCCTAATTTTCAACATTTGAGAGTCTTAGGGTGTCTTTGTTATGCAACTATAACTAAAGATTGTAGTGATTAATTTGGTCCTAGCGCTGAAAAGGTTGTTCATCAAAGCTATTGAAGCACACAAAAGTGCTATGTTTTATATAGTCTTTCTCACAAACATTTTTTTGTTAGTAGAGATGTCATTTTCCATGAAAATATCTTTCCTTTACTAGTTACACCTCCTCCTTCTTCTTTGTTTCCAAATGAAGTTGTTGCTCATGATGATATTGCTGATGATTTGGACTGTCCAGTTCCTACCCCTGTTGCAGAACCTGTTTCTATTCAGCCTTCTCCTACCATCAGAAATTCTAGTAGGGCAGTTTAACCTCCATCATGGCTCCAAGTTTTTGTTCATGCTCCTCTACCTTCACATTGTGTCTAGTTCTTCTTGTCAGTATCCTTTACCTGCTTACATGTCCTATGCCAATATTATTGTCCCTCACTACTAGTCCATATGTGCTTATTCTTCCATCAAAGAGCCTACACTTATACTTAGGCTACATGTCATCCAGAATGGGTACTTGCCATGCAACAAGAATTTCAGGCACTTATAGAGAACCATACATGGTGTCTTGTTGATCTACCTTCTCATAAGAGAGTTATTGGTTGTAAATGAGTGTATAAGGTGAAGTATAATGCTCTTGGAGAGGTTGAAAGGTAAAAGGATCGACTTGTTGCTAAAGGTTACACACAAGAAGAGGGTTTGGACTATCAGGAAACTTTTTCTCCAGTGATTAAAATGGTCACAGTTAGATTGTCCTATCCTTGGCTGCTATGAATGGTTGGAGGCTTCATCAAATGGATGTGTTCAATGCATTCCTCCAAGGTGATTTAGAGGAAGACGTTTACATTCTTTGACCTCTTGGTTTTTCCAGTAAGGGGGAGTTAGCCAAAGTCTTTAAGTTAAAAAAGTACCTTTATGGTCTTAAACAGTCATCCAAGCAATGGAACCTCAAAATTTCAGAGGCTTTACTTTATTCTGGTTTTTCACAAAGTCATCAATTAGTCTCTCTTTACCAAAGTAGCTAGATCTGACACTGTTCTAGTCCTTGTTTATGTAAATGATCTCTTGATTACTGGTTCTTCCTCCACTCTTATTTTGGATACTAAGAACCTGCTCAACCACCATTTCAAGATCAAGGATTCGTGGGAGATGAAGTAATTCCTTGGTCTTGAAATTGCCAGAAGCAACAAAGGTATTTCAGTCTGTCAAAGAAAGTTTTACCTTGATTTGATTTCAGATCTAGGCCTCACAGGTTCAAAACTTGTCAGTACTCCATTAGAAGAAAATCACAAGCTTACTAGTGTGATGTATGTTAAGAGTATAACTGATAGCTCAGGAAAAAAATTGAATGATGAGTTCTTAAAAGACCCTACTAGTTATCAGAAACTAATTGGGAAGTTACTCTATCTTACAATGACAAGACCTGATATTGCTTATGCAATACAAAACCTCCGCCAATTCATGCATTCACCTAAGAAGTCTCACATGGAAGCTGCATTAAGGGTGGTTAGATACCTGAAGAATGCCCCTGGCTTAGGAATCATCTTGTCATCAGAAATTTCACATGCACTGACTGTTTATTGTGATGCTGATTGGGCTACTTGTCCCATGACAAAAAAATCAGTTAGTGGTTTTGTGGTTAAACTAGGAGATTCATTGATATCTTGGAAATCCAAGAAGCAAAGTACCATATCCAGAAGTTCTGCAGAAGCTGAATACAGAAGCATGGCAAGTGCTACAGCAGAGATGATTTGGTTGATTGGCTTGTTTGCAGAACAAAATTGGAAGATAACATTGCCTGTGAGTTGTTCTGTGATAGTAAGGCAACCATACAAATAGCAGCAAATCCTATATATCATGAAAGGACGAAACACATTAAAATTGATTGTCATTTTATTAGAGAAAAAATACAAAAGGGAATCATACAGACAAAACATGTAAGGACGGATCACCAATTGGCAGACATCTTGAAAAAAGGTCTTGGGCACACACAACATGATTTTTTACTATCCAAGCTTGGAGTATTCATTTTGTTTCATACGACTAAGCTTAAGGGTGTGTGTGAAGATGAAGGTTCTAGAATGTGAAGCCAGCTGTCAAGTAAGAATGTTAGTCATTTTGTTAATTAGTTAATTGTGTCAGAAATTAGTTAGAAGAGAGTAGAATATCACATTATAATCTGTATATATACGTATTAGTGCATACAATGTAAAGGCTAAGAGAGAATGGAATAATAGAAAATGCTATTTCTGTTTTGCTTTCAGTTTTTTTCCTCTGTCAAGTCTCCATAGCTGCAACTTCCATTGAAAAAGATATTGTAAGCTTTCTCAACACAATGCCTATTCATTCTTTTAGTACTTAGAACCTGCAAAATTGAAACATTAAATATAGTTGTTAGTAGGGTGAATTGCCTCCCACCAACCGTACTATTTTTTTTATCGTGGCACGACTCATATATTTTCTTATTTATTATTATCTCAGTTTGCCTCCTGAAAAATGTTTGATTTGACGTCGCAACAAATTGATACTTTATAGTTGTCGATTCATGGAAGAAATGAAAATGCATAGCTTACTTATATTTTCAATTATATTGCTCATTAACCTTTTGAGCGCGGAATTTCACTCATGCCCTCATCTGGTTACATCATTTTACACCCTTATGACTTTGTCAGGAGTTGGTGGGTACTATTTAGAGTAGGTGTTGTATGTTACTATAGACATTCCAATATTGCTAACTTGATTATAAACAATATTGCTTATCCGTAAGTCTGACAACTGGTCTGACCCATGTAACCAAGGTAATTGATACAACCTTCAACCCTCAGAGGGAGGATCTATGTGAATAAAAAATCATGAGGTTACCACTACTTGGCTAAAAAGTTAGAGCAAAGTTAAGAAGGTGTTGGTCCATGGGCCATTATTATAGTGCTCGAGTATAGAGAGTTTGAGGAGTTGGTCTTTCCGACCAAAATCCCTTTCTAATCACCAATCTTCAACTTGTTCAACAAAGGTCTCTGAACCCATATATATATATATATATATATTGTTGGAGGCTGTTTTAATTAAGTCATCTTTTGATTATTCATAGTCATGGTTCTTTTTTGAGAGTTTACTTTAATATTGAACCAAGACAAATTTATTTTTTTAATTTCAGTCTAGAGTCAGACTTTTTTCAATGAAAAATTGGTACACGTAAGCTTTTATTATGGAAATAACTTCTATTTATTCTTGGTAAAATTGAGTAAGTTTGACTTATATGGTGATATGATTAAGGCATAAAACTTGTTTAATTTAAAAATTGAACCCCCTCTGTAGAATAATTGTATGAATTTCAATATAATTGCATATATTAACATCCATTCTTCTAGTGACATAGATAATTTGTTAAATGCTTGGAGTACAATGTTGAGATTAATTAAATAGTTTAATGTAGTCTAGTGTCATTGTGTGAGTTATTTTGTATTTACATATTTAATCTAAAACTTATCTGGTTAGTCATGTAACATGTCCAAGGATAACTGAGAGATGAATATAGCTCTTCCTACTTTGTGTAACTAAAGTCACTAGTAGCCGAATTAAATCTTTCCAATGATTATAATATCCTTAATGAACTATTTTGAGGTTTTAATCTTTTTTATAGACTAATTGTAATTATGAATTCATACCCCTTTTTTTAAGTCAAACTTCTCTTAAAATATTCCTTTTTGACCCTGAAAGTGCAATATGAGGCATAAAAAGTCTAAATTGGGGTCGACAAGTGAAAAAGAAAAATAACA